CAGGGCTGCTCTGAATCTCTTCTGTAGCTGTGCCTGGGATTGCTCCGACACAGGTGTACTACCTTCCACTTGGCATGCATTCTGGGGTTATGCTTTTTATTTATTTAGCTTGGTATTCTTATCCACTGTAGAAAGTTCATTAAAAAGTGCTAGAAGACTTTAAGCTCTTCATCCAAGTCTATTACTTGAGTCTACTTTTCTGTATCAAGCATCCTTATGCCAAGGGCATGCTTTCCTTTGTTCATTCTTGCATAAGGAAGAGAGAGGGTGTTGTGTCTCTATAACCACAAAAGACAGGTACGTACTCAAATGCGTGCCAGTTGCTATGCTCCTCCACTGGCTTATGTTCAGTGCCTTGTACCACATCGCTGCTTTTGTATTCTCTGTCTCTACTCCTTCTACCCTCTGCCAGCCATCTCTAAAGAGCAATTATCACTTTGAAGTGTAAACAAAGAAGGGGAAAGGCATGGCAAGAACAAATCCACTCCTGGCTATACAAAGAACTTTTTTACATATCCATGTGCCCTAGATGTGTGTGAACTCCAGCTGACAGATGTTCTTCCTCTGCTTGTAGAAATTGGTCATTCAGAGCAACTTCCTCCACTCTTTACTATAGGCCAAGGAAGTAGCAATATGAGATGAAAATCAACGGTCTCTTTTAAAAGGAAATGGAGTAGAACCATATATTTGTCGAACCTTACAAATGCATCCTTAACCTTTTAAAGATGTCTTAAATGTAATAAAACATAGTAAAAAAAAAGGCAACCAAATTTTACATTGATTGTGCAATCAGGTACATTTACTAGCCAAATTGGAAAGTTTTGGTTAAACATTTATTTTTATTTTCACACACACACACGCACACATGAAAAATGGAAATATTCACGCATCAAACCTTTTCAGAGTTTGCCATTTTTACAGACCTTTAATCTATCATCACTCCTTTCCAGGTGAGTGGAAAGGAACTAATTTTTGTTTAAAAGTTTTGAGAGCCAGTAGATGAGGAAGCACAGACTCCATCTGCCCTTGCCAGCTTCTGACTGCAACCCTATCAACCAGCTGTAGGATGGATAATGGGTTGCATAAAGAAGGAAGGATGGAAATGGGATTATCAAAACAGGGTTGATGAAATGCTAAGAACTTCAAGGAGGTCATGGACTTTCATTGTTACAGCCTGTGGGTCTTACTTCATTGACTTCTGTTGATGCTCCTCTATTATGTAGTGAGTCAGTTCTTTTCTTGAAAGCTTTGCTTACTATGTTAATTATGCATCAGTTAATTCAAAGCTTACGACACCACTTCTTTCTGTTCAACTATGGTCAGTTTGCTTGAAGAACACTTTGCAATTCTCTAGCTGAATTGGCATAGAACAATTTTATTTTTAGTGGTTTAAAAGTAATTTTTAGTGTCTGATGAAAATTCTCTAGCTGGAAGATAGTAAAAGTGAAAATAAGACAAGAGGCATATTGAACTTTGCTTTCATGGCTTTGGCTTCCATTTTGAAATGAGACTCTACAGTCAACTCCAATGAAAAAGGAAGCATTTCAGCGACAAAATAAGCCATACTTCACCAGTTTCTGGAGGAGAAGGATGAATGTATAGTCAAACTTCCACTTGAAGCTTGTTGAAGACTTGTTAATGCAACTTAACGTACTGCAAAGGTAGTCATTTCAGAGGCAAACCTGAGACTTGCTGCCTGAACGCAACATTGCTGGAGCAACCAGCAGAGAGCCTTGAGAAGATCCATCCTCCACTCCCAGGGTCTGTCCCTTGGGCTGCTGTTCCATCACCAGCCCTGCTATCTCTGCTGATTAGGTTCACTGATGCAGCAATATGGTATTAAGGGTAAACTGCACTGTTCCTCAGAAACTTGGGTCTGAGTCTCAGGTGTAATGCCTAGCAGAAAATGAACATGATTTTTGTCTTGGAAATGGCTTAGTTGTTGTGAAATGCAGCAAAAGAAAGGAGAATATAGGACCTAAAGATGTGAAGATTTTCTTCAACTAGCTTTGAAAGAAGCAGGACTTTGTCATGTGATCATGGGGCTTATTTGTGTTTTGCTCAAAAGGTAAATATGAGAAGGTGGTGGTGTTTTACGTGTCAAAACTGGAGACAGAAGCAAATCTTGAACTATTGCTCATTTATATTCCTTCTGTGTAGTGAATGAGGCAGTAGAACTGTGGAAGTAATAGTAAGTAATAATGTAGTTAAGAGATTGGGATTATAATACATGCCTTAGAAAGAGAAGCCAGATGTTGCATAAGCAGTGCTAATTTTGGCAGCAATTAAATTTGAAATATTTGGGTTTAGTTTTAGTCGCATTTTATGAGTAATTACACAGAGGTTTGTGAGCATATTTATATGCTTACGTTTTGTTTGAGCTTAAAGCTAGAGACAATGTAATTTTTGTCATCTTGGAAGTGAAGTATAACTGCTTTTTAAACTCTTCTAATATTCACTGTAAATTCAGGAATGCTTTGCAAATTTAATGGAATATTCATAATCTTAACTGATTATCTATTTAAATAACTAGTTGTCCCTTCATAGTGGACATTCAAGCCAGCTATCTCTCAGAAGTATGCTCCCCTGATTTTATTCAGCTGAAAATTTTATTGGTTGATTTTCCTTTAAGCCTTTTCCTGACTTTGTTTAATCTGAAACTAGAACTAGAGACTCATAAATCTAACCATTTTTGTACTGTCAGAAGCCACAGGGAAAACCAGTGATCAATCAAGACCAATTTCACAAGAACAGGAGGCACTTTCATGCCTTGTCAAGGTTTTTAAAATTATATCCTATGTTTTTTCTCTCCTTTTTCTTCTAACAAACCTTACAACAAACAGAAACAAACAATTATTTGCTGGAATACAGCATTCGATCTCACATCTGAGCAGCTTAGTGGGTTTTTTATGTGTTTAGACGTATATAAAAATAAGGTGGGGGGCAAGAGAGAGACAATTGAATAATTTAAAAGGAAAAAAAAGTCTTCAGGAAGGTGAGTAGAACAAAAGACCTTAAAGTATCAAGTATTTAATCAAGCGTGTAAGTACTAAAGCATGTAGTGAGCACAGAAGATTAATTTGATAATAATTACAAATAAAAGTTCTTTAAATCCAAAGAGCACAAGTGTCATACACTCACCAGAGTAATTTATTTTTTTCAAGTTGACCAATTACTGTATTACCTCTCGTAATATGTGAAATTGTTTATTCCAGAAGTAAAATATAAATTGAACTCTTCTGATAGATTTGTCACAAAATTGTGTCTAAGAATGTTTGTGGGTTTTTTGTTTTTTTGTTTTTTTTGTTTTTTTTTTTGTTTTTTTTTTTATTTAGGAAAAAGCAGCTTAAATGTCAGACAATGCAACTCATTTACTTTTATGTTACTTCTATCCATAGGAAAATGGACCAAAATGATGTAATCATAATAACAGCAACAATAATATCATCCCCTGGAATAATAACAGTCTATACATTTTTTTAGAGTAAACAAAATTCAGATTCTAGAGAATTTGCACAATGTCTTTGCTATTCTGACGATCATACCTCTTGCCACCTGCAAGATGCTTGACAGTTAGTTAAAAGCCTTGGTGCCATGCCAAAAAATACCCTGAATGTTATTCCCTCATTGCTCACATTACTGCAAGTACCAACTAAATGTAAGTCCTGTTACTATAGAAGTGATTTACTACCTAATTTGAAGTTAGTTGAGAGTTTCAGAAGCAAAGCTGTGTGGTGCTGATAGATAGTGTAGAAAAAGACGGTCTATTCCTCCATTCTGTTAAACCCTGACCTAATGGTGGGAAGGAAGCAATGTAGATGATGGTTACTTCTTTAGCTGCGTGGTGTTCTCTTTTAGAGTCACAGAATGGTTTGGGTTAGATTTTTTTACCTTAAAGTCTACTGGTTTAATTCAAAAAGTTTTTGTGAGACTTGGAGGGAAAAAAATTTCTCTGATTAGAGACTGGAGATGGAAAAAGTCCAGGATCTTCGCAATTCGAAAAGGTATCAGCAGATAAAAGCATAGAGGAAGAAGAGAAAATTGCTGTAACTTAGAGAAACTACAAATAGAGGTGATAACCCTTCCACCTAAAAGAAATAGCTACATTTATTTTTTTCCTGGATATTTTGAGGTATGTGAAGAGGGACATGTACCCATGGATAATAAGGTCTAAGTCTCTACTGTGAAATGACTAATTTTTATGGATTTTTAGATCATTGTGATTTAAATGTATTTGTGTATGCTTTTTTCAGTCTTCTAAAACTTCAGGGACACTGTAATGCTTTGAGCCTTCATTTAAGCATATCAATGATGTCCAGACCACTTATTTCTCAGAAATTTTTGAGTGGCTGGTGTAAATTGTAATTCACAAGGATGTTTGTCTTGAGAAGTTTAATTAAAGCCCTTGGATTATGAAACTAACTGGGAACTGGAAGTATTCAGTATCAATTTTGATACTCTTTGTTTATTAAATGTGTTCATAGCAAAAAGCAGACTGGGAAGAATTGAACTGGTGTAGATGCTCAGCTGTACAGTAAATAATGTAAAGAAATTGCTTAATAAGAGGACTGCTTATGGTACTGCTTGTGAAGTGTGTTAATTTTATTGTGCATTTGGAAAAGAGCTGCTTATTGCAAGTCAAGAGAAAATGACAAGCTAAACATGAATGACTTAGAAATACCACCACCATACCTCATCCACTTTTAAAAGTCTTACAGTCTACCGTTTTCTCAACTAAATAAATGAATCTCCTGGTTGCCAAGAAAGCCCAATTATTGCATTTAGCATTTGCTTTTTTAAAGCCATGGGGATGCACTTGATGTTCATGACATAATCTTGTTTTCACAGAATTTTCCCATTTAATTGTTAGCAACATGCAGAGTTGTATCTCTGAAATACCAGTCAGCATGTGTTTGTTACCTTAGTTTTGTTCCCAACATCTATTTTGAAGTTACTCTTTGCAGTAACCTCCCCCTCTCTTTTTCCTTTTCCTTACGCAGAGGATTACTACTTCAGGAGAACAGCAGGTTTTCGGAGGCATTGCATTACTATAAACTGGCAATTGGTAGCAGGCCCACGCTAGCATGTAAGTATTTCAACTGTACAAGCTTGCATAATATTGACTATAGGTGTGTTTGTTTTTTTTTAAGGAAACCTTCCTAGTCTTTAATAACACTTTTTTTCTTACAAAATTTTTAATTCAGAAAGCAAAAAGTGAAAATGTGCACTTTTTGTTTGAAAGCATTTATTAGTCAACAGCTACATTTAATGTAGTACACAGAAGAATCAGTTAATGAGTTAACACTGGACAGCACTGCTTCTGATCTGGGGTGGTGAGCCACAAGTGCTATTGCCCAAATTTTCAGTTTCCTGTTTTCTGTTTCATATAGCCAGTTTCTGATTTTTGAGGTATGTGATGTAGTGGACATATTTTTAAAGTCCTTTCACTTTTCCTTTCTTGCCTGGGGGAAAAGGGAAATAATCCATATGAGGTTGCTAGCAATCGGTTCCAAAATTAAGTGGATACCTTTTAAGATTGCTGTCTTTTTTTTTTGTAGCTTCAGTATTAAATCTTCTATATATGTATGTATACACATACTTGTATATATGTATGAATATATGTATATATTTTTAATGACATTTCAAGTAGTGATGCTATATGCTTCATACAGTCCTAAAAAGAGGAACAAAATGGAGCACCCTGCTTAACCAGTGTTCTGTTCCCTCCTTCCTCAGTCTTAATAGCCACTTTCTCTTTAGTTGTCTCTGAACTTTTACCTCTTCTGCGTTCCTCTTTACACCAATGAGTGATCTATACTATACAAACCCCAGATTAGATAACCGTGGGATCTCTTTCAGATATTACTTTGAAGTAATATCTTTCAAATATTACTTTGAAACATTGGAACCACATCAAAAGATAATATTTTTTCCCTCTTTGCAGCTGCCTATTTAAATACTGGTATCATCCTGATGAACCAAGGGAAGACAGAAGAAGCCAGGAGGACTTTCCTGAAGTGTTCAGAGATCCCTGATGAAAATTTGAAAGACCCTCATGCCCATAAAAGCTCTGTCACTAGCTGTCTTTATAACTTAGGAAAACTTTTTCATGAGCAAGGACACTATGAGGTAAGACTCCAGATTTGTCTGCTATATAATGATAAAATTTTCATACATAAGTAATAGCTATTGCTTCCAGCCAGACTTTCAAAATACATCACAGGCACAAAGTGATTGAATTTCACCAAATCAAGATTAGCATTCTCTACAGAGAATATTTATTCTTTATAGCCACAGGTGTGACGATGTTAATTAGCAGTGTGATGTTCTGATGTCAGAGTCAACTTTAGCAATGGTCACATCTGTTGTGTGTTAATTCATTCTTTTTGGCTTTATCCTCATGGCTGATATGCAAAGAGTATAGCCTGATTACAGACCAGCCAATCTAAAGTGTACTGGCTTTTTACTCAAAACAGAGTAAGTCCATCTTTACTTGAAAAAATGCAGTTATGTTTGCTTTCTAGCCTCAAAAAACAAGACCTAGTTGGAACAATTCAAAACTTCAGTTATTAAAAACATCCCAGTATGTGCTATTTTCAGATAAGTGCTGATGTGGGTTGGATATCTTTAATGTAACCCCACGCTGTACCCAACCCATCCCATTTCATTTACATGTGCAAATGTGGCTGTTGTGATTCCTTTCCATTCTCCCTGATGAAATTACTAAAACTGGACATCTAATTGCCTTTTACCTTTAGCAGTATTTGAAAGAGTCATTCTGTCTTTGCCTTGCTGATCATACTTCAGACAGGAGTTATGCATGGTTTTGATCCATATAACTCTTCCTGACCATGACAGTTAATTCAGCTGTTTAAGATTAGGCATGCACAAGCTCCATGAACTCTTTGTCATCTGTATGCTGAATCCAGCTTTGTCAGGTGGCAGTTACTAATCAGTTAAAACACAGACAGCTAATACATCCATAAAGGTAAGAGAACAGCAGCATGTTGTCTACACGACCAATAGATCGTAGAGTTGGGAGTTTGAGGCCTGGGAGGTGCAAGGGATTTTGAGAATATAAACCATCAGATTTCTGCTTGGTGATCATTGCAGTCTGATCCAGCCTTGAGTTGACATACACTTAGGTTTTCTCAAGCGTATTTCAGCCTTCACAAGTTGTGACTGTTTGGTGGGGTGATGCAGAATATTATGCACAGCTAACAGACTGACCAGTAAGCATACTAAGTGCTGAATGAATTATATATGTGTGATCAAGTAATTCAAGGCACAGCACATTTTCAAGGGAATCCAATTTTGGCATTCTTGACACTATAATCTACCTCATTCCTTCTGTGGAGCTGACTTCATTTGTATGGATTATGTTTTGTTATTACTTGGCAGTAGACAATTAATATTTTTAGGTTACTTACTGTAGCTTAGACATCAGAAAGTACTTTGTCTGCAGTTTGATATTATTCCATATTCTCTCACAGCCTATACAGTATGTGTTTATAAACTTGTGAGTCATTGAGGGATATTAAAATGTATACTTGTGCCTGAAAAGAGAGTTGCAATATTGGAACTAATTTGATCTCTTGTCAATAAGTTTCACTGACTTTGGAAAAATTTATATAAATGAGAAATTTTAACTTTCTCTGGTATTTATGATGTGTTTTCTTTCTCTCTGCACCTTTCATTTTGAAAGGAAGATAGTTTGGTTTTACTATATATGTGAAAGACTGTTTTTAAAATTGGTTCTTTACTAATGATTTATCCCACTTGTGTGTCTCTTTTCAGGATGCCCTCATGGTTTACAAAGAAGCAATACAGAAAATGCCAAGGCAGTTTGCCCCACAGAGCTTATACAACATGATGGGTAAGTGCATTGTTGCTGCCTTAGAAAGTTATCTAAGGTGTTAGGCAGGGTGAAACAAAAAAGCTTAGCCAGGCTAAAATGAATTAGCTAACAAAAACAAAATAATTGCTTTCAGTAGATACAAGCCGAACCAGATTCAGAGCTTAAATGACAGCAACTGCAATGCTGCATAAGGCACATGAAATGATGACTGTTACATACTTGATGTCTTTAGGAACGTCCATGCAGCACTTTTACGTTTAGAATGCATGGAGAATTAAGTGGAATTTTCCCTGAAAGGGCGTTTGTTTCTTCTAAGCAACATCAATGTCTGGCCCAGTAAACTTTGTGAGCTCCTTTCTGGGACAGAAAAGGATGTAAGATGCTTTACTTTAAAGTAGTTCAAGGTAGAGCAATTAAAACTATATGTGGAAACAATTAGGATAAACAGAAAGCATGTGGGGTTTTGTGGTTGTCCCTCCCTTCTCTCCCCTTCCAGTGCCTAATGTACGAGAGAATGTATTGGTTGATGTCATTTGGTTTGACACAGTTGCAGAAAGGAGGCACCACTCACTTTTGTCTACTTATTCAGGAAGACATATTTTATTAGCTCCTTACAAGTACTAGGGTGTAGGAAAAAAATATTCTAAAATTGTAGTTGTAACTGGTGCCATGTGTTTGTAAAGCCTAAATGAATTTATGCCTCTGTAAATGCTAAATTAATTACTTTTCTTGTCATAGTGACAAAGTATCTAATGTCAATAATACTATAAACACTTCCTTAACAGCTCATACAATTCAGTGGAGACTTACTTTTCCCTGAGTGCTGAGCTTTGTCATATTCATACAAATGGCTAAAATCTCTAGAACCCACAAGTTGATTATTGCATGTACTTCACAGAGTCTTAGTGCAACTGTTGTTTTATCAGTTTTATCAGGATTTGCTGGTAAATTCAGTTGGGTTATCAACAGTCATCACTGTGTGAATTAAACTTCTGCTTGCTATCAGTGTCCTGTAGTGGCTGAAGTACTGCAGTGCTCCAGCGAATCCTCTGAACTCTGACTTCCCTCTGTAGTGCAAATATATATTTCATAATTTTGATTAAAGTGCTCCTTGGAAGTACAGAAATTGGAAAAAGTAGACCAGCACTGTTTCTAGCATGATGGTTGTTCCACTGCAAAGTGAGCCTGTGCCACTCTTTGTTTTCCCATTAGTAGATGCTCCCTTTAGGATCACCATGACCTATAGGATTCTTTACTTTTTTACTTTATTTTTCCCATTTGTTACTTTTTTTAGGTTCAGAATGTCTTTCTTAGCTCCCTTCATAAGCACAGTCCATGATGTACAAGTTCACTCTGTTCCTGGGATTTGCATTTATTAAGTCAAAGCGATAGTGAACACAAAGACCAGCTCAGTCCTTTGCCTGGGCTTGGCTGCTGCTACACTTCCTCCCTGCACTGCTTAGCCTGTACTTGGGCTTGTTTCCTTTAGTCAGCTGCCAGCACTTCATGGATGTTCTAGCGGCATAACAACTTAGGGTCAGCTGAGCTTACCTTGCAAAGAGCAACAGGCTATTATGGAGCTTGGTAAAGTGAAACTAATCATTAGCATAGCATTTATTTGTATTTTGTTCGCTGTTGTGATGGCAGCTGTTTCAGGGAAAGCAGAACTTGCTTCACACCAGTTGCTGAGGTGTAGCTTGTTTACTATGCTGCAAAGGCTACTTAAAGGGTCAGGTAGTGAGTTGAATTTAGCACAGTGCTGCTTTATTAACAGCAATACTCAGACTGATTTGTTTAAAGCTGTCCTGGATGAGTCTACCAGGAACTAGAGAACTGGAGTGAGTTAGGTTAGTCTCTCTTACCTGTATTAGTGTAAAAATTAGATGACATGACAAAGCTAGGTAGCTATACTCACTTTATAGGGTGAGTTACTCTGGGGAGTAATTAAGCCCACCTGATTTAGATATTTATTTTAGATTATACAAATAAACCCCTGCAAGCATACTTCTGTAAAAGGAGATGAGATGGCTAGCTTAGATTTACTAGCTCAAGTTGTGTGAGATAAATCTTAAACACCCATTCAGTCATCTCTTTGCATTGGGTGTAACAGGAGAACAAGGAAACTGCATCTGTTATCAGGAGTACATCCACTCTGCAGTTCATACCATGTCACTGGGCATCAGAAGGCCAGCTGGATTGTTTATTTCTGTTTTGAAGTTCAAGATAAGATTACAAACATGTTTGCTATAACACTTTCTTTGATAAACAGCTTTACATAAACTTGTCTGCCTGCTTCTTGCCTTTAAAAGGGAGACTGGAGGAACTGAAATAGGCCAGTCCCGTCTTGTGCGCCTGGAACTGCATGAATTTGACACTGAGCTGTCCCCGCTCTCCATATGCTTATTGCTAAGAAGGAGTAAAAACTGGGAAGTGCTCCCCATCTGCTTGGAAAGGAAGGGTCTTTCCCTGTTTTTTTACATGTGGAAAAATTCTTCATGGTTTATCATGAAGTCCAAGAGTAGCTAGAGTTTGAGGATTATCTGCTGCAGTTGTTACTGTGATTAATGTATTCTGAGTCTCTGTCAATCACCCTGCTTGGTTCACTGACACGCATATTGCCGCATATTGGCATATGATCTAAGAAAACAGTGTTTTCTCTAATTTTTAATAATTATTCAATGATGTCATTGAAGCTTTTATGGAAGCTTTTTCCCTGTATGGTGTATATGACATACTCAAAAGAGAATAAACAGGAGACAAACTGTTTAAACTGAATTAGGTTTGAACTCCAGCACTCTGAGTGCAGTAGCATTAACACTCCAGCAGTGTTAAGCCTTTACACCACCTGCTTTCCCTGTTTGTGTTACACTTCTTTTCCTGTGCTTGCTTCTATTGGCCTTTCACTCTGACAGGCCCAGTGACTCACTCCTCCAGTGTGCCAGCCTGCTCGACTGACTCTCATTCTTTAAAAACCCTAAGTAACTTGACTCTTAAACGAAAAAGAAGTGCTGGGGCTCAAGAAGCAAGCCGTCCATTTGACTTTGCATTTGTTCATGGTACAACAGGCCGGGCCAGAATACCAGCACTGGATGTTCTACATTTGTGCATATGAGAAGTTGCAGGGCAGATTTTGGTCTCCTGTTGCTGTGATTTATTTTGCCAGGTGTGCAACTACTCAACTAAAGAAACCATATGTTTCTCTGGCTTTGTACCAAGAAAGTAAACACCCCCCCCCTTCCCCTTTTGGGGGGCTTTTTTTTTTTGTTGTTAAAAGAGTCCCAAACAGCTAAAAATTAAAACTCTAAAACTAGAATCAAAATAATTTTTCAACAAGCTGTATAGGTTTGGCTTGGCATTTATTTTCTCTATGTCATATTTCTTTGATGTAAATTAAAAAGTACATGCTAAGGTTACACAGATTAATTTGCTTGGCATGGCAACATGCACTACAAAGGCCAGAGTCCAGCTCAGCTGCATTAAATAGGTAATATATTTTGTTTCAAGTTTCAATTAAAGCCTGGGGTCAAAAGATAAAATGGTCCCTGTGGGATCTTGAACACTTTAATGCCAATATTAGGATTGCTTAAGGATCAGACTCTGCTCTAGATGTCTTTTGTGTTTCTTGAAATCTGATATTGTACAGTTGATTGTATTACATTGCTTTTAAAACCACATTGGCCCACCTGCTACAGTAATTCATATTCCTACCAGTTAAGTGGTGTGAGGTAGACCACGAAGGCTTTATTTTATTACTAAACAGTAACAAGAAAGATGTTATGGTGGCATTGTTCAGGTTTAGATGGGCAAGATACTTTCATAAGGACAAGTGTCTTGATGGCACTTCATCTGCCCTTTCCAGCTAACACTGGAATGCAAAGCCTTACAGACATTTGTTAATAAGAAATGCAAGTTACAAGAGAACCTAACATTGCAGGAGTGAATACCGTTAGTGATGCACAAATTAAGAGTTTAGATTTCTCTTTGCTAATCTGCTACATGCACATGGACAGAAAACAAACCGTACACAAGTGGCAGCCAGGTACAGAGCAGGAAAGGGGAGCCAGATTTTACATCTGGTGCAGAGGTTTGCATCTTAAGTACTAAGGCTTAGCATGCAGCGGGACTTTCTGTGTTGATGATTATAACACAACTATTGCTTTATTTGATTATGCTTTTGGGTGGATGTGGTTGTTTGTACAAACCTGTTAATATTGTTAAGGCTCCTATCCCATTTGCCCCTTGCTTCCTTTAAATGGTTTTTTTTTATTGAATTACTTTTAAATATTGTTTAGAACTCCAAGAAACACTTTTGCTGGTGTCGTTTTACAATTCATGCTGTGCAAGACTTACTTTTTAAGAGCCAAAGTTGATTAAGCTGTGAAATGCATATCCCACATCGTAATTCATTGTACCTGCACTGGTCTGAGCTCCAGTTGTGCTTCCTATGCATCTCATGAAGCTTTACTGATAATTTATTACTAAATGTACATTGCAAACTTTTTTTTTTCCCTTTTAAAACCATCTTGGTCAAAAAAAAAAGTTTGTTTTTTCTCTTTTTTATATGTATATTTTATTATGTGTTCTAGGGAAATAAGAATGGACTTCAATGCTGAGGGGAGTAAAATTCTGTGCTTCCTTCTCTCCCTTTCCCTGTCCTTATGTTGCTACTTTAAGCCTTCCTCCTCTGAGACTTTGAAGACTATGGTAGTTTATATCTGCTGGCCAAAGCTGTGTATAAATTTCCAGGCTGACTGCAGTGTCTCCTGTTTTTTCACTTGTTTTTTTTTTGAGGGTTTCAAGCTGAGTATGAAGGTTTCAGGAGTGGATCGCTGAGGGGGTAATGGATGCAGTGTTTGAGAACAGGGTTGTTTGTTGGGGGTTTTTTGCTGATTCTCTGGTCTTCTTGGTTTTATCTCTTTGGACTATTGATCTATAATTTCATGGGAATTGCATGAGTTTTCTTAGGCAATATTCTGAAAAAGCTAAGGGTCTAAGCCTGAAATACATTTGTATTATAA